ATAATAATAATCAGCATAGCATGCCTTGTAAACTCATATAAATAATTCTTTAATAAAAGAATTTCTTTTTGCTTCTGGATCGCTAGAGGGAACATGAGGATATGGAAAAGCTCATTTTTGAGATTAACAAAAAAATATAGTCTTATAGTGTCATTCATAAATCAACTCTGAACATTAGCCGAATAGCAATTTAAAAAAAGTAATAAGCAAAGAAGGCCTTGTTGCTTAACAATATTCTTCTATCTTCTCCAGGGACCTGAGAAAAAAAAAACAGAAATATTTCTTTTTATAAAAGAATTACTTATATGCATCCACCAGGTATCCTGTGCTGATTATCAATATACTAATATTTTCAATATACGTACCTCTTCATCTAGGAAAATAGACTATGCTACAGGACTATCTTGTAAGTTGGTAATAAAGCCATGTCACCTGAAAAAATGTCATCTATGAAACATTTACAGCTCGATAGTATGTCATTTTTTAGACGAATTTACATTGATATTCGATTTTTCAATAGTACAAAATTAAGCTCTCTGAAATATCATATAAACAAGAAAAAAACTTAAACCTGAGAAAATGAACAATAATTATGTATGAAAAAAGCAACAATGAAAACAGTCTAGTATAGAATATTGAAGAACAGATATATTGGTTATTCAAAACTGTTTGCATATATATCTCATCGTGAATAAATAATAGAAAATTTGAGTTTTTTTTTTCAAAAGATACACCGTGACAAATTCTACAAAAAAGAAAGATGCCGGAACAAATTCTTTCTAACATTTTCTGATGATTTTTCCTATCGATCGTCAAAATGAAACATTTACATATTTCTACATTAAAATAATAAAAACATTTGGAAGACTTTATTTTTTACTTTACATATATATCTCAGCTTCCGAAAACAATAAATTCTTGATTTCTATTTTAAACGATACATCATCAAAAGCTCTAGAAAAGCTGTATGAATGAATCCTTATCGACTTATTCTAATATTTTTTCTCGACGATTAAAAGAAAACACCTGCATAATGTTGCTACCAGATGCTCAAACATGTTTTTCAAATATCTATGCACAGACGTATAATGAAATCATGATATTTTTTTCAAAAGATGTACCGTAAAAAGCTCTACAAAAGCTGTAATAAGGAAACCCTTATTAACATGCTTCAATAGCTGTTTTCTTATGTGACATGGAAAAAACAATATAATGGTAATACTTTCTACTGTACTTAAGATAAAAAAAAATATCTAAAAGACCTTTACTACAGAATTTATATAAGAAAATTCCTACTGTAAAAGAGGAAAATTCTTCCGAATGTTGTTAATATTTTAAATACAGTACGAATATTTAGATGTTTCATTTTGACAACAAGAAAAATTATCAGAACATGTTACGAGAGATTTGTTCTGGCATTTTTTACGATGTATCTTTTGAAAAAGAAATTAAGGGTCTTTTTTTAAAAATCATTTATTCATGATGAGGTGTATGCAAAACATATAGTTTTGCAAATGGTTTGAAAAACTTGTTGAATGTATTGAATTGAATTTGAAGAAAAACACTTTTTTTTATATTTCCATGAACTTCGATTCGATCGAACTACTTCATTAATCTTCAATATTTGTTCTGTACAATATTACACTTATTGATCATTTTTAAAAATTGAAAAACTAAACAATATCATCAATGGAATAAGTAGCTTTATGGTCTTAGAAATAGTATATTATCTTTGATTTTTTTTTCATAGGAACTGGTTTCGTACTGGTCATAGAAAATTTGAAAAGCATTGAACAAGAAAAAGCAACATGGAACGAATCAGATCTGGATGATAAGTCATAAAAAGCACTATAATAAAAAATTTTGTTTTTTTCCAACTAGTGACTTTTTTCTATGAATAAAATAAACAAATACAACTGTTAAGTATAATGTTTGGTATTAACTAAAAAAAAACAAAATATATTGATACATACAGGACAAATTTTCAAAATTGAAACTTGTGTCCAAGCAATAAAATGCACCATTGAAACCATGATAAATACTAACTTTTCTATAAAACCAATGTTCTATATTTGAAGTATTGTTCTGTTTATATCAATATAGGCCGTACTGATTTCTTCTTATGATACTTATCGATGAGAACTGAAAATAATCTAATATTCAATAGTAGTATTTGTTTATTTTATTCATATAAAGAAAAGTCTTTGAATATAATTTCTACTACTAATCAAAAAACTTAAACGATTTGATTGAACCGATACAGATATATTTCATTTTTTCATTGTCATTCTATAGAATGTATTCTGACTATTTAATTATATTATATAAATGTCTACTTTTCGTCAAATTATAAAGCAAATCAAACATTTTCATTCCATTTGATGATGAAGACATAATCAATAGCTTTTAGATTATAAATATCAATTGCAATGAAGATTCAACAAAATGATTGTGCTGTCTATTTCAAACAAATGAAGAAATAGTAATATAATTTGGACACTCTAGATAATTGATGCACTATTCTAAAGATATGAAAAATGTTGTCTTGATTGATCCTTTTGTTGTAACAATTTTGAATACATAAAACTTATATTAATATAATTCAAGATAGAATATTCTCAATAGAAATTAATTTTTATTAAAATTCATCAATTTAAAAAATATTCTAGAAAAAAAGTCTATTATTATTACTTAGAAGATAGTCTAAAGAGATTATTTATATCAAAATATAATATTAATTGAACTTGCGATTCCTAATGCACAAAAATTTTTCTAAATTCTCTTAGAAACAAAAAAATCTTGACCTTCTTTTCAATGTTAACTGTTTTGAAATAAACCTGTATGTTAAAGAATAAAGCAATATTCAACTTTCTATGATTTTTTTAAATTCCTAGTAATAAAATAATCTTTCTCTTTGTTATTGAGAAAATCTAACCGTTAAGAAGATATGATCTATTTTACAATATCTGAATGTAACTAAATGATAGAATTTATCTAATTGTGTATCGTAATACTTTCTTTCAAAGTGAATATACATTTATTGAACTGTTTGATCAATATCGGAAAACCTGAATAAATAATGCACTAAATTTTTTACATTTTTTCGAAATTCTAGTAATATTTCTTAAAGAATATTTCGTTAACTTATTTGTATTATTAATTTAATTAATTAAAGATTTATTCAGTATGAACCAACAATATTCATAATTTCGTTTTTGTTTTAGGTAATCCATTCGTTTTCAGAGATATACCTTTAAAAATCATTCAATTTTCTAGAAGCACTTATTTCAAAAGAAAATTAATTTAACCATTAAATAAATAGATTTTCAAAAAGAAAAATGATAATCAATTCTATGTTGATTTTATTTTTTTCTTTTCTAATATGCTCTTAACACAAAAAGAGATAGGACAAAAAAAAGAGTGACGGAAAAGTTATAACTGCGCCTAAGGACGTTGACCAAAAGAATAAAATAGTTAATGTAATATTGGACAAAAATTTAATGATGACCATTCTTTTTTGATGATGATGCTGTTGAATGTGCAACTGGTCCTGATGGTTGAGGAGGTTCAGATGCTAATCGTTTAGCTTTACGTGATTGACTTAATTTTGTCATAGTATAACCAAAAAATATCCAATCACCAAGAACAGCCATTACCGAATTAGCTCGACCACGAGTTGTATATGAATTAAAATGACGAACATACCAATTACTGGCCATCTTTGCTCGAATATGAGCTGGTACATCAGCATCACAAACAGGGTGTGGGTGTGGGTGGCTGTGGGGGTGGGTGTTGGTGTTCTTATCTTCCCCTCCAGTTACCAACACCCAGACCTACACCCATACCCACACACCCACACCCACACCCACACCCACACCCACACCCACACCCACACCCCCACCCACACCCACCCCCACCCCCCCCCCCGCCGCTAATAGGGATCTCGGGGGGAACCCCAACACGAGAAGGGAGAGGGCGAGGA